TGCAGCCGTCATTGTTGTTTGGCGGGTCCGGGCTGGGGATTCGAACCTGCCACCTTAGGTGTATGTGGCTGGCACCTTAGCCAGTTGAGCTATAGGTGCCAAGCCGTCATCATTTTTCTAAAGTGGTGGGTTGCCCTTTCAGAGCCATTTTCTTATTTGGAAAATGGGGTTTGTATCTTACTCTCTTTGTGACTCAGTTTCTCATCTCCAAACTGGGATTGTTGCGGGAATTAAATGAGATGAGTCCTGTAAAGTGTTTAGAGCAGAGCAACTGCACTCACAGCAACTTCAAACTCCTGGGCTCAAGCTACCCTCTTGCCCCAGCCTCCTGAGTGGTTGAGATTACAGGCACCTGCCACAATGCCCTAGTAGTTTTTCTATTTTTAGTAGAGACAGGGTCTTGCTCTTGCTCAAGCAATCTTCCCATCATGGCCTCTCACAGTGCTAGGATTACAGGTGTGAGCCACCTCCCAGCCTGTAAGAATGATTTTTAAGGGGCCAGGCATGGTGGCTCATGCCTGTAATCCTGGCACTCTGGGGGGCTGAGGTGGGTGGATTGCCTGAAGTCACAGGTTGGAGACCAGCCTGAGCCAGAGTGAGCCCTCATCTCTAAAAATAGCCAGGTGTTGTGGCTGGTGCCTATAGTCCTGCTGTTTGGAAGGCTGAGGCAAGAGAATCATTAGAACCCAAAAGTTTGAGGTTGTTGTGAGCTATGATGCCATGACACTCTACCGAGGGCAACAAAGTAAGACTCTGTCTCCAAAAAACTTAATAAATTAAATTTAAAAAATAAAAAAATAAGAATGATTTTTAAAATTTCCTTCTTTCTTTCTTTCTCAGACAGGGTCTTGCTCTATTGTTCAGGCTGGAGAGCAGTGAAGCAATCACAGCTCATTGTAGCCTTGAACTCCTGGGCTCAAGCCATCTTCTCCACTCAGACTCCCAAGTAGCTGGGACTACGGGCTGAAGTTACCACACCCAGCACCATAAGAATTAAATATTAATATTTAAGTGCTTAGTGCACAGTGGTAGTTGACTATTACTACCATCATTCAGTGGACAAATGTTTTCTGAGCACCTACAACATGCCAGGCTCTGTTCAAGGCACTAGGGATACTATGGATAAGAGTTCATTCTCTCAAAGAACTTATATCTGTGGCAACTAATATTTCAGCCTAACCTTTGTTCAAGTATTTTTCCAGCCAGTTCAGTACATGCTTGATGTTCAGTAAACACAAATATGGTGCCTAGATCTGGACTAAATGAATCAACAAATCAGACAAATGAACCCTCAGTGCTGGTTCAGTCTGGAGGAAGCTATGGTAGGGCAGATAGAAAATTGACTATGAATATTTGGGCAACTACCATGAGGGACCCCCAAGAAGGAGTCTCTGGGTAACCCTGGATGGCTTCCTGGAAGAGGCGGCATTGGAAGAAGGCATTGGATAGTGATGTGCCTGCCAGGTGAGTGGGAATGGCATTACTAGTGGAGAGAGAGCAGGAATAGAGGCTCTGAGATGGGAAAGAGCTGCCAAGGAGGAGAAGACAGCAGCATCTGTAATAGAGGTAGCAGAGAGAGAAGGAAAGGAAACTGAGGCCCAGAGAGGGCTAGAACTTGCTGAAGGCAAATGAGTCAAAAGTAAAGCTGAGGTTTGAGTCTAGATCTCTTGATTCCCAGATCAGCTCTTCCCTCTATCAATGCTCCCAAATTTCAGCCATTTACACCTGCCTGGATTCCATCACTGCTGAATTTACTTAGTTTCACATAGCATATTTACTTTGAAAAATTGTGTCCTTTATTTTTCACTTAAATATTTAGATTAAATCTAACTTTAAATGAAATCTTACCAGCACCATAGATGGAAAACTAGTAACACTTGCGTTTATTCAGAAAATTGTAAAAATATAATGAACACAAAACAATAAAAGCCTAGGTAGGCATTGTTGCTAGCACAGGGCCCTAGGCTTGATCTCTTTCTGTTAAGAGGAAAGTTTAGCAAGGGTGTGAGGTATTCAAGACCATCTGGACACATCTGAGCCATTCTCCTTGTTATATTCCCAAGGGTTGAAAGGAAATTGAAAAAGGGAATTATGAAACGAGAACCCTGGATAGTTGCTGCCCGCACTTTTTCCCCTCTGGGCCCTGGCCCTAAACCCTCCCTCTGGACATCCACACTCCCTTTGACCCCTCCCTTGTCTGCTGGCTGGACCTGAAAGCTCAGGGCAACCTTGGGAGTCACTCATTGAAGATGGGGACACTTTCATCAGCCCTGGTTTCTAATCTCCCATGTGGAGCAAAGTCCCAACTTCTGCCTTCACCTGGACTATATGTAAACTAGAAAGATACTTCTTTGTGCTAAGCTCCTAGAATTTCAGGGTTTATTTGTAACATCAATTAGCATCACCTTAACCTACACAGAATGATCTCTTGCTATTCCAGTTAAAAACATCTCTGCAGAAGATCCTGGTGAAGGATACATTTCCAACTTTGGGAACGTCTGCTTAATCCTATGATCTGACCCCTGATGGGGTGGGGGCTTCAGAAGGCAGGGCCATTCCCACCTTCTCTAGTATCACAGATGTTGGACAAAGCCTGGTGTTGATAGGGGCATATGTCTGGGAAGCCCTGGACTCAGCATGCTGTGGCAGCCTCGGTCCCCAGGGGGCCTCCTAACCTTCCTGGGCTCTGTCATGTTGCCCACATGGATGGTGTAGACACCACTGGCATTGGTCCCGAAGCGCTGGATCTCTGCACAGTCCTGAAACACCTGCTCAGCTGCCCTCATGGAGGCTGCAATGGGGTAAAACAAAAGTCAGGTGGAAGTGAGCAAGAAGAGAGGGAAAGGAGCAGAGAGCAAGCCTGTCTGCTCTGTGCCAGGTTCTGGGCTGGGGGGTGCTGGGGAAAGGGAGATGGATCAGATCTGGGAAGTTTTCTAGAGGAGGTGACAGTAATCTGGGACCTGGACTATGAGCAGGAGTTGCCCAGATGGAGAAGTGGAGGGTGTTTTAGGCAGAGGGAACAGCATATGCAAATGCTCGAAGTGGGGAACAGTCCTGGTGTGTCCAGGGAACAGGATGTGGGGAGGCAACAGAGGCTGCAGCCAGGGAGAAGAAATGACTCACACCATGAGAACAGAGCTGCGGCCACATAGCCCCACAGCTGTTTGATGAAAGGGAGAGGGTGAGAAAGGAAGGGGAGAGAGAAGAGGCTGAGATTTCAGCGGGGCCAGGTCAGCTTTGAATGCCAGCCTGAGGAGTCCAAACTCTCTGTGCCAAGAAAGAGCACTCTCGCCGGAGTGTGGCGTGGGGCCAGCAGGGGGGTGAGACCAGAAAGGGGGCTGCTAGAGTCCTCTAGGAGAAGATACTCAGGGCCTGAACTCCAGCAGGATACTTCCTACTTCACAGACCAACCAACTGAGGCCCCAGAGTGAAGTAACTGGCCCAAGTGCACATGGGGCAGGGCCTTTCCTCCTTGGAGCTCCCTTGGGTGGGAGGTCTTGGGCTTCCCTCCACAGTCTGCACTTTTGGCAGCACCTTTCTGTAGTCCTGGACAAGGTTCCCTCATTCTGCCCTCTCCAGGAATCAACAACTAATTTTAGAGGGCCCATGTTTCTTCCCTTTGAACTGCATGAGATCAAGAAAGTATTAATTTAACAACCCAAATGTACCAAGGACCTGGAAAAAGTGACTATTGACAAATAAACGGCAGTGATTTAAAATCCCCTCTGCTCAATTAGTGTAATCCAGTTAGAGGTTTGGACTGTGATTCTACCATTATCCATCTCCCTGGGCAGGTACCTAAGGAGGAGATAAAATTTTAGATGGATAGGGGTCAACACCAATAAGGAACCATGAGGCTACTGAGAGGTGGGACTTCCTATTTTGGCTTCACACCTGAGGTTGGATCTCAGATCCTGGATCTGGGGTACTTATCTGAAGGTGGCTATTGTTCTCATATCCCAAATCCATCTCAGCCTGTGCATAGACATTTCCTGGGCAGGGTTCTTCCCTGTCCCACCTGTCCACATTCCCTAGCTGTCCCTGGGGAACTGAAGACAAGCATCGGGGAGGGGAGGAGGAGCTGGCCTATAGGTGAGCAGAGATGGGTCAAACTACCCAGCAAGGCAAGGGTAGAGCTGGGCATTGACCTCAGATTTCCAGCTACCCTTTCTAAGCCTCTGTCCACTGTTATTTTTCTTAGTCAACAACAATAGCAATAATAACAGTAACAATAAAAATGAAATACCCACTATGTATTGTAGCGTTTCCTAGGTGCTGCATACTTTCAGAGGCAATTTGGGGCCAGCAAAAATACTTGGGGTGGGGAGTGTGTAAGAATAGGATAGACTTGCTATTAAAATACAATAGCTTTTGACCCCAGCTTAGGCCCTTCTGCATCTCTGGGCTGGTAATTTGTACCAGTTCCACTCCCTTTTGGTCCTAGGCACTGTGCTGAGCCTCTTCACGTCCATGCACTGATCTGGTCATCTGGGCAAGAACCATTTTATAAGTGAGGAAAATTGAGGCTCTGAGAAATTAAATGCAAATCCCATTTGGGATTCATGAAAAAAAAATCTGGACTTATGCAAAATCCCAGTGAAGGACACAGCACTTGAACTCTGGTCCATCTGACTACAAAGCCAGTGACCTTCCTACCACACCCCCCTACCCTGGGTCTCCACTACCGTGGCTACATAAGGCTGGTCACACAGTTTACATTAAGGGAAGCTGTTTTATACTGAGCACAGGTCCCTGCCCTTCTAACTAACCTCTGAACCTAGCTCCTTGGTGCCTGGAAACAGCAGGAGACATGACCCTCTTCTTTCACCAGCTTCCACCTGCTCAGCGGAGGTGCTCCCTCCCTGCCATGCTTCAGGGACACCTGGTCCCTGTGCCCAGTCCCATCCAGCCCTCTGCTCTATACCCTCTTTCAGTTTCTCCCTCTAGACAGGGGCAAAGCAGCTCCCTGGTGTACTTCCTTGGTGACAGTGGGGAGGAGGACAGGGTGTTTGGGCAAAGGGTGCCCGAGGTGAGGTGCTCAGTATAGTCTCCCACCCACACTGGTGAGCAACATTCAGTCACATCTGGAGACTGGGTTAATAGTGGGATGGTGGGGAAAGGCACTGGGCCCAGGTCCTGTGCCTTGGGCTGAGCTACAAGAAACCCACACATGGGATTAATTCAGGCAGCCTTGCTACCAGGGCTATGTACAAGCTGGTGATGGGTTCGGATCACCCCACATCTCATGGTTCGGAAGGCATCCACTTCTGCTGTGACTTCCTTGGGCCTCAAACCTTCACCTAGCAGGGTCTGCCAGACTTAGATGAAACCAGGGTGGGATCCTTTGCCTGCAAATCCCTGTCAGCCATGGAGGTGCCTGGAATTCTGTCACTGTTGCTTGAATCCTTGTGCCTTAAAGGCTTCTAGTCTCTCCCTGTGGCAATCCAGGGTTAGTAGGAGCCCCTTCCTTGGTCTTTTTCTCTAACCAAGGCATTGCCTACTCTGTGGTTCTAATCAGAGCTTACTAAATGTAGACCACCCTGTTCAAAAGCCTCCTAAGTCTTCCACTGGCCTCAGGATAAACTCCCTTCTCCTTAGCACAGCCCTTGGGCCATTCATAGCCTGGAAACTTCAGGAACACTAATAGCAGAATAGCTGGCACATGCATAGTAGGACTTGAAAACACACATTTTCTTTCTTTCCCTCTGGGACCCACAGACAGGGGTGTGGTCATTTTTGCAAGAGATAGAGGCCACGACTGTCCTGTTTACTGCTGTATCCTGAGCACCTAGCCTTGTGCCTGGTGCAAAGTAGATGCTCAGTAAATGTTTGTTGATTGAGTGATTGAAGCTGGCACCAAGAATGCCTCGGCCACCCCAGGTGGACCTCATTAGAAAACGTCAGTGAGGGTAGAGAGTACGCCAGGCACTGGTCTCCCTTTCCAGAAGCCAGGGCCAGAGATGCTGCCTCACTTCTCTTTGGCCTTCTTGGGACATGACAGAGAAATCCTTGGGGTGCATTGAGTGCAACACTCTCCATTCTATAGATAGGTAAATTGAGGCCCAGGGAGGGGTAGGGCAAGCCCAGGCAAGTAGGGCTGGAGCTGAATCCTGGGCTGCTTTTGTCTTTGTCATTGTCATCACCTCCACTAAACAGAGGGAAAAACAGGCCAAGAGGGGGACAGAGCATGCCCGAGATCACCCATGGAGTTGGGGGCCAGAGTCTGAAGTGGCTCCTCTTAGGACTGTAGTGTTTGTCATTGTCATTACTGTCTGTTGTTCCTTTCCCGCTGCGGGGTCCAGGCCCAGAGAGAAACACGAGGGCCAGCAGGGTCTCCTCCCCTTTCCCAACTTTCTCCCACCACGCTGGGGCGCAAGCCGCTTGCTCACCCGGGCCCTGGGCCACCGCGCTCACCAGGCGCTGCACCGACTCCAGCAGCTGGCGCTGCTGGCGCTGCAGGAGGCTGGAGTTGCTGCTGGCGGCGCGCAGGCTGCGCTCGAGGCCGGCTAGGGCGCCGCTCTGACGGCCCAGCAGGCGCCGCAGCCGCTCCTTCTCGCCGCGGAGGCTGGCCAGCTCCGCTTGCTGCTGCGTCTCCAGAGCCTGCACCCGCGTCTCCAGCGCGCTGCGGAGCAGAGCGTGCACGGCGCTGAGCCTGTGGTCCCCGTGGCTCCCCCTGGGCCCCGGGGTCCCTTCAGACCAGCGCCGAGGCTCAAGAGAGGTGGAGCAAGCTACAGGCACAGACCGAGGAGGAAGATGGATTGGGGTCCTTAGAGGAACGAGTGGGGTAGGCAGGGCTACAACCAGATAGCCATTGTCAAATTCCAAGTAATTCACCCTTTGACCCAGCAGTCCACTCTCCCAGAGATACCCTCCAGGGAGCAGGGACAAGCAAAACTTTAGAGGAGTGCTTGTAAAAAAGAACTACGAACAGCCTACATGCCAGGACTGGCCGAATCTGTGGTGTTTGGGCGTTGAAATGTTCCGCAGCCAGGAAGAAGGAGGCAGAGCGTATTCGCACAGATTGGAAAGATGCCCAGGACTTGGGGTTGACAAATTGGTGCCTCGAGTCTAACCCCATGTGCAGGAAGATAGAGAGAGAGAGAGACACCGATGTAAAGGTAGAGAGATGTGGGCGAACACACAGAAGGCTGTGGACGGGAAAGACCACAGTGGTCCTTGTGTTTGAAAAGAATATGAAAGAAAACCCGCTACGTGCCATGACTTGGGTTTTGAGTGGAAGAGGAAATAGGGGCCAGGTCGGGGGTGGGGGGAGAGACCAAGTTTCACTTTTATTTTATACAGGTCTCTGTTGTCAGCTGATATCATTATAAACATGAAGCATTTTTGTAATGGATTTAAAAGCAAAGAAGAATTTTATGAATTTTGGCATTTTATCCTCCAGATTTTATTTTATTTTATTATTTTGTTGTTGTTGTTGTTGCAGTTGTCATTGTTGTTTAGCTGGCTCGGGCTGCGTTCAAACCCGCCAGCTTGGGTGTATGTGGCCGGTGCCCTACCCACTGAGCGCCGGACGCTGCCCCTTAGATATTATTTTATCACTTGTGTGCAATGAGAGATGGAAATGTTATTCATTGTAGCACCGATTGGATTAAAGACTGGCAGCAACCTGGATGCCCCTAATTGGGGACTAGGGAAATGAAAGCAGGAGCAGCCGCACAGAACATGGTGAACTTGGAGACAGTGAGCAAGCACATCAGATAGTTATAGAATATTTTCCCAGATAACTAGGCAAAAAGAAAACATGGCAACGGGGTATGCTACGTTTGGGCTTAGAAAGGATGAAGAAGGGGAAGTACAGATAGACGCTCCTTAAGTTACAACAGGGTTACAGCCCAATAAACCCATTGGAAGTTGAAAATCTTGGAAGTCAAGGGGGGTGTGGTGGCTGACACCTGTAATCCTAGCATTCTGGGAGGCCGAGGCAGGTGGATTGCCTGAGCTCAGGAGTTTGGGACCAGCCTGAGCTAGAATGAGACCCCATCTCTAAAAATAGCTGGGCATTGTGGTGGGTGCCTGTAGTCCCAGCTACCCAGGAGGCTTTGAGGTTGCTTTGAGTTATGATGCCATGGATACTCTACTCAGGATGTGGAAGTGAGACTCTGTCTCAAAAAAAAAAAAAAAGGAAGAAGAAAATCTTGTAAGTAAAAAATGCATTTATACATCAAAGTTACTGAATATCATAGCTTGAAACATTGTCACAACACTTACTCTGCCTATGGTTGGGCAGAATCATCTAACATAAGGCCTATTTTATAATAAGATGTTGAATAGCTCGTGTAATTTATGGAATACTATACTGAAAGAGAAAAGCAGAATCGCTGTAAGGGTCCTTGAAGTAGTTTCTACTGAATGCTTATTGTTTTGCATGGTTGTAAAGTTGAAAATTTTTAAGTTGAAGCATCATAAGTTGGGGATCTTTATTGTGTACATTTGCATATTCATAAGAAACCCTGGAGTATCAGCTTATAGAATGCCAGCTCCAGGAAGACAGGGATTTTGGTCTGTTTTTCACTTCCGTATCCCCAGCGTCTATAATAGTGCCTGACACATAGAAAGAGCTCAAAAAATAATAGTTGATTGAATGAGTGGAAGGACACAGGAGATACTAGGAACAGTGTTCACTTCTGGCTCAGGTGGGCAGGTGACTGAGGGGTAGGGCTGGGAGGGAGACTCGTTACCATCCATTCAGTTGTGCTGACCCATTCTGGAGACTAAGAAAATGAATCCAGCTAGTCAGAAGGAATTTCCTCCAAACCCCAAATTATGCTACAGGAAGAGAGAGAATTTGGGCACACTCAGAGTCTAGAATTCTAGCTGTCTTCATGGGCCAAGAATTGACTGATGACGTCCTCCATCTCCATTGATTTCTAGGCACCTGTTCCCAATTCAGAGTGATTGAAAGTGTCCCAGTGCTTGCCACCAAGACCTTGGGGTGGGCAAACTGTCATTAATTGCACCCTGATCAGAGGGAGCTGGGTGATCCTGTGACCTTATCGTGACTCAGCATGTAAGTAATAATAACATCTTGCTCTGTTGACAGGCCTGTGACTGGTTCAGTGGGTAGAAATGAACTCAGGTTCTTCCAGAACCCTGAACTTGGCAGATTTTTCTCCACTCAGCTTGAAATGGAGATGAAATCAGCCTCACTTGTCAGATTTCTCTGCTTTATCTATACTCTGAGACTGTTTTCTCCTTTGTAATTTAAAGGGTGTTCCCCTGATATAATTTGCTTATAAATGTGGAGACCCTAACAGTACAGACAAGAGCCTGGTATCTGTGGTTGCTTCTGGGAAGGGGAGCAGGTGGATGGGATCAGATTAATTTATTTACAAAGAAGTAAAGCCAATAAAATTTACCAGGTAAATTGTATGGTGGGTAAATTATATCTCAACAAAGCTGTTAAATTTATGGAAGGAAGGAAGGAAGGAAGGAAGGAAGGAAGGAAGGAAGGAAGGAAGGGAGGGGAAAGAAAAAAATCAAGATGCCTTGAGTCCCAGGAAAGTGTCCATCCCCTGTCCCCACCCAGTGATGGGGCCAGGCAGACCTGAAGCTCAGCCTTAGTCTGGACTCCAGCCCTGGCTTCAGTTGTCCTCCAGCACTAGCTAGTCCCAGCTCCAGCTCTAGTCCTCCAAATTGCTCCCTTGCCCCCGTCCACTATCTCAGACACTGGCCCAAGTCCCGCTTCCTGCCCTGGCTCCAGCCCTAGCCTCAGCCCCAGCCCTAGCTCTGGTTTCCACCCTGCATCCTAACCTTGACTCCCAGCCTGGTGCTGGGGCCAACACCCACCTGTTCTGGCCCTGCAGCCGGTGCAGCTCGTGGCCCTGCAGCAGCAGCTGCTTCTCCAGCTTGTTGGTGGACAGGGAGGTCTCTAGCAGCTGGATCTCCATGCGGGATGTCTGGTTGAGGACCTACTCCAGCAAGCAGAAGGGGGAGGTGGGGCTTAGGAGCTCTGCCCAGCTGCCACCCACCTTAGGACCCCACAGAGCCTTCCACTCTAGAAAGTTGTTGACCCTCTTCCAAGTCAGTAGTTGCTGTGGTCATGCACTCCCAGGCCCTAACTGAGCTTATAATCTGCTCCTAAATTGGCCTTCCCCACCACTGCATGTAGAGGTTCCAGGCTGACCCTGACCCCCACAGGCACTCATCAGCAAGTCCTGTCACCTCTGCTTTCCAAATGACATCTGACTCCTGACCCCCCTGGTCTGGAGTTCACCCAGGCCTGGAGTTCCCCCTAGCCTCTATCCTATGTCCTGTGTGAGCTTCCTCACAGGGCTCCCTATTCCCGTCCTTGTCCCTTGCAGTCCCTTCTCTTTGCAGTAGCCTAGGGTAGCCTTTACATATCCACTCTGTTCAAAATCTTCCTGTGGACCCATATCATGCAGTAGAAAAGCCCCAGTCCTCACCAGGGCCTGAAAGGCACTGCAATGCGATCTGTCCCCATTACTATGCCTGGCCCCTTGGCCACCACACCCCCACTGGTCAATCCAGCACACTGGTCTCCTGCTATGCCTATAACCTGCCAGCAGGTGCTGCAGCCCCTTCACTGTAGCCTTTGACTCAGCACATGACTGTGGACTGGAATGGTCTCTGCCATAAGCCTGGCTCCAGTCCTGCCTTCTCCATGGTCCATCCTGGTCTTGCTGTGTGAACGTGTCTCCCATTCCTCCCAGCAGACACCCTCCCCCGACCCATGCTCTCTCCTTAGTACTGTCACCATTGAACACATAGTCACGTGCACTTAACCACAGGGATACATTCTGAGAAATGTGTCACTGGGGGATTTCATCATTGTGTCTACATCAGAGTGTGCTGACCTAGGTGGGGTAGCCTCCTGTGCACATAGGCTCCATGTCCTGGGCCACAAACCTGGACAGCAGGACGCTGTACTGAGTACTGCGGGCAGCTGGAACACAGTGGTAAGTATTTGCATACCTAGACACATCTCAACATATAAAAGACACAGTAAAATACAGTATCATAATCTTATGAAACTACCATCTTATATGTGGTCTGCCATTGACCTGAATGTCGTTACTCAGCACAGGACTTTTTATGTTCCTTATCCTGTTCATTTTCTGGGTAAGCTCCATGGGGCAGGGATATGGCTGTTTTTTTGACGGCTACAAATGAGAATCAGGTGTCTTGAACAGTGCCTGGCATTCAACAAACATGTGCCCCGTTTGTCATTTGCTTTTTCATCCATTCACTTCCTCGCCCTCCCATTTATTCCTCCTTCTCTTGCTGCTCAGATACCTCCTTTCAGAGTCCTCAACCCCTGAGGTCTCTTGCATTATTTCTTATCTATCTCCTTCTCCTGTGCTGTGCAACCCCCCAGGGACTCATAGTGTGGGGGGAAAGGTTTGTGAAAAAGTCATGGGGGAGGCATTAGGAGGCTATAGGCCCAGTGGAAGCCTTGACCTTACCCAAGGACAGAGGTCAAGGCAAGGTGAGCTGGCCCGTAAGCCACCCTGGCCAGCTGTAGGCCCCTCAGTCCCACATGAGCATCTTTGTTACCTGAGCCTCCACGTTGGTCAGCTTGCGGGTCTGGGCGGTGGTCTGGTTCAAGAGGCTGGTGCCCAGCTCTAGCATGGTGGCCGTCTGGTTCTGTACCATGTGCTGCTGGGCCTGCGCCAGCTCCGACCTCAAGTTCATCTGGACGTACCTCTCTAGCTGTGGGAGACCATGGGCTGGGGTCATGGGGTAGGCTGGGGGAGCCTCCCCCCCATGTTCTCTATGGAAGGGCACAGAGTAGCCGGTGGGGCTTGAAACATGACACCAAGCCACCATCATCTCTCACCTGGACCGTCCCAGGAGATTTTTCCCTGGTTTCTCTGCCTCCGTCCTTGTCCCCTGCACAATTTATTCCTTACTCAGCTGCCTGAGGGATCTCATTAAACCTAAGTCAAGTCACCCTCCTCTTCTGCTCAAAACCCTCCCAAGATCCCAGTCTCCCTCAGAGGTGGGGCCATGACCACAGGTTCCTTCCTAACCTGGAGGGCTGCCACTGTCCTCTGCTAGTCCTCTCTGCCTCACTCACTCCGCTCCAGATGCAGCTCCTCTGTGACATCCCTCCAATGCAGCAAGCGCGCCCCCTTCCCGGGGTCTTTGCAAATGCAGTTTTCTCAATGTTCCCCTGAGATCCCTTCCCAGCCCCATCTGCAGGGCTTGCTCCCTCATGTCATTTCAGGTTTCTTCATAACACTTACTGCTCCTGACTTTGTACTGTGTATTTATTTGTTGTCCTTCTCACCCTCTAGAACAGTCCTTTTCAACCTTTTTTATCTCATGGCACACTTGAACCTACAGTTAAACTTTTTGCAGCACACTTTAATTATGTTGGTCACAAAAAGAGTAAGAATAGACTTGCTGTGCTTTGAACTTCTTTTGAAAATAATGAATGATCTTTGAAAGTTTTCACGACACACCTAAGATCCTCTCACAGCACACCGGTATGCCGTGGCACACTGGTTGAAAATCACTGCTCTAGAATGTCAATTCCATGATGCCACTGACTTGGTCTGACCCACAGCTTTGTCTCTATGTCTAGCACAACCCATGGCACACAGCGGGTGCTCAGGAAATGATGTATTCAAAGAATCGATAGAAAAGGGGAGCAGCATTGTGTGCCCTTTGCTCCCAGCTTTCTCAGGGTGAGCCAGCAGGCAGAATGGGCACACGTCTTTCCCTAGCGCAACAGTTGGCATGTCCATCAGCCAAGCTGCTCTTTCTATCTCCTGGCCTCCTTCAGCTGCCAGATGGGGCTGACTGGCCAGTCTCCATGGGTCCTTCCAGTTCTGATGTCCTGGGCCCCCACGTGCTAATGTTCATTTCTCTGACAGGGTTGCTCTCTTTCCCGAAAGCAGGAGAAGCATGTCTGGCATGACACCAGGATCAAGTTGTAAAGGTAGACAGTGTGTTCTCAGGGCTCCGTGCCTGTGGGCAGAGAGCCAGCCTCCTCTACCCCTCTGTATTCAGCACACACGCTGGCCACTCACCACCAGCCCCATCTTGTTCCTGGCTCCTTTGCTTGCCGGCTCACTCAGTCTTCCAGGAGGTCCGGCAGGGCTGCTCCCAGAGTCCCCAGGAACACTAGTGCTCCCCAGGGAGAGATGTTGACCTTGGCTGGGGCCAGGCTCCAGAACCTGCCTCCTTCATCTCCCCTCCTCCACCTTAGCTATTCCATTGTCAGCTGCTGGAGGGGTAGTCATGGTCATATTGATCAGAGTTCTGTTTCTCACAGTGTGGTCCTTTGATTAGCATCCGTTGGGAGCTTGTTAGAAATGCAAAGTTTGAGGTTCCTACTGAACCTGGGAAGTGGTGGGGGGTGGCACCCTACCATCTGTCTTTAACAAGCCTTCCAGCTGAATCCGGGCTCACTGAGGTGGGAGAGACTTTGGTGTCAAGATGGCAGAGGGGAATGAGAGCCTGAGAGACCCCTTCCTTCCTCTGCTCCTCCTGGCCCAACACCTCCACTGTCCCCGGCAGCACACAGCATGGCTACCAGCGGCCATATTTCCACACCAACCCTGAAGGTTTTCTGGCTGCTTCCCCACTATCTCTGGTCCCCGCAACACAAAACTCCTACCACTGTTGGAGTTGTCTCTGTCTTCTCGCCTCCATGCCCACCCTCACCTTTGAAAACAATGTTTTATTTCCTCTTCTTATGTATGTATTTTTTTTTTTTTTGAGACATAGTCTCACTCTGTTACCCTGGGTAGAGTGCCTTGGCATCATAGCTCACAGCAACGTCAGACTACTGGATTCTAGTGATCCTCTTACCTCAGCCTCCTAAGTAGCTGAGACTACTGGTGCCAACCACTAGGACTGGCTAGTTTTTTAATTTTTAGTAGAGATGGGGTCTCCCTCTTGTACTGGGTGGGGTCTAACTTTTTTTTTTTGAAACAGAGTCTCTCTTTGTTGCCCTCAGTAGAGTGCTGTGCCATCATCGCTCACAGCAACCTCAAACTCTTGGGGTGAAGCGATCCTCTTGCCTCACCCTCCCAAGTAGCTGGGACTACAGGCACCTACCACAGCTCCCAGCTGTTTTTATAGATGGGGTCTCACTCTAGCTGATTCGGGTCTCAAACTTCTGAGCTCAGGCAATCCACCCACCTTGGCCTCCCAGAGTGGTAGGATTACAGGTATGAGCCACTTCACCTGGCCCTTCATCTTTTCTTTTTTCTTTTTTTTTAAATGAGCAGCATTAATTATGTAATTATGGTACATTTCATGCATACACAAAGACATTGAGTATAAAGACAAAACAACCCATAATGCACATTCTCCTGCAGAACCCCAGTGGTGTCTCTCCAGCTCCGGGAAGCCCATTCACCCTGTAATTCACCTTGTCACTTTTGTGTCCTCATCTTACTTGACATCTCAGCATCACTGCCTTCTGCTAGAAATACATCCGGATGTACCCACTCTTGGTTTTCCTTCAGCCCCCCCGGCTGCCTCCCCTTTCCTCCTTCTTTATTGGTTCCCACATGTTGGGGGTTCTGGTCTCTCTTTCCAGTCTTTCCTAGGTCAGGGGTCCTCTGTGGGGGACTACAGGGTCCCTGAACTTGAGTGAGAAAAAAATTATATTTTTTGTCCACTAACCTATAACTGAAATTTGGCATTTCCTTCCATTATAAGAGCTTAGGTCACAAACCACAGACATACTAGCAGGTCCTCCGACTCATTATCAGTAGAAATCACAAATATTGTCATATCACCACATTTTGTTATAACATCTCCAAATATTGTTTTTTCTCAGTATGACTTTGGAATTGTGGATGTTATCGAACCCACCAATGGATAATGCTACATATTTATTGAAGATTTTATTTTTAATATTGTGATTATAATTGCAATGGTATTGGTGTGCTTCTGCTTTTATGCATTTTGGGGAAAGGATCCTTCACCGAAGACCAGATGACAAAGGGTCCGAGGCTTCAAATGCATCAGGCCCTGCCCTGGGTACCAGACCTAGGATTTCCCTATTCCCCATGCTGAGGTGGCCATCACTATCTCCCACCCAGACTCTCTCCTCCTGAATGTCCCACCAAATTGCCATCTCTGTGGCATCTCAGTGAGCATCTCAAACATAGCATGTCTAACCTAGAACTCTTGAGTCTTCAGCTCCTTCTACTCCATCCCTGAAACTCCCACCTGGTTCCCTCAAGTCTTTCCCATCTCAGTAAATGTCCCTACCCAGTTCTGAAGGCTCAAACCCAGACCTCAATACTGACTTCTCTTTTTCTCATCTGCCACACTCAACCCATTGGGAGGTTCTGCTCAGTGTAATTCCTACATGAATCTTGAGTCCGTTCACTCTCCTTTCCCTGCCCTAGGCTGCCATCATCTCCATCCATGGGTAGACTTCTCATGCCCTCTGTTCTAACCCCTCTATCAGCTCCCAGGAGATTCTAATGATTGGGCCCACCAGGTGGATAAGGGCAAGCAGAGCTATACTGAGTCTGGCTTTTCCACATGCCATGAACCTCTTAGAACTTGTATTAAAATGCAGACTCCCAGGTCCCAAGTTTCTGCTCCAGATGGTCAAACAGTGAATCCATTCCCGAGATGAGACCTTCCCGGGCATCTCCCCTAAGACTCTTATTTGCAGATGGACAAATTGAGGCCCAGGAGAGTTGCCCAAGGTCACGCCTAGAAGATTCCAAGGATCCTTGCCATGAGGCTTCTCTAGGTCTACAGAGCTGGCCTCACAATCAGAGTAGCTTAGGGTCACCTGAAGTAATTGGAGCTCTCTAAGCATCTTCACTTGTCCCCCACTTGTCCTGTGGCTGCAAGTGGTTGGGCAGGACAAAGGCCACCCACAGCTGGAGCCCATCACCCAATTTGCCACACCCGCCCATCAGCATGGGCCCTGGAATGGATAATCCAGGCCAGATGGGCCCCGTTTGGCCAGGCTGGGGCTCACTGGCCAGGGTGGTGGGGGTTGGGTCTGGCCTAGGTCTCAAGAACCCACTGGAAGGGTGAGGAAAGGGTCCCAACGGAGGAACCCATCCAGGGTGGGATCTGCTGTTCTCTAGCTCCCACCCACCCACCTGCCCCTTCTCTATCATCCTCATGCTGGAAAATTCTCAGGTCTTGGATAGGGACAGAAGCTTGACTTCTTGCCACCCTCCATCCTGCAAAGAGGCTGAGCTTTGGTCCCCTGACTACCAGTTCTCTCCCTATGTCCCTGGATTTGAGTTCTGGCTCTGCCACACTCCTTGGGGTCCTTTGGAGGGTGCTACATTTCCCTGAGCCTCACTTTACAAATCTATGACACAGGGTCAGTAAATTCTGCTCCTCATTGGTGAGAGGGCATCTGAAAAGTGTTTTGAAGGGTGGGTGTCACAGACAGATGACAGATGCCTATTGATGGGTGGGCAGTTTCAGTGCCCATGGAGGTTTGCTCAGGCCTGTTTCTCTTCTGCATTATTTATATAAAAGGACTTCAACCGGCAAATGGATAAACAACTGTAGTCCATCCATCCAAGGGACTCTACTAGCAATAAAGAGGAAGAAACAATTGTGGAGAACAGCATGGGTGAACCTCAGATATATGATGCTAAGTGAAATATGCCAGACTCAAATGGCCACATACTGTCATTCCATTTTTATGACTTTCTGGAAAAGCTGGAATTTGTGCTTGCCAAGGCCTGGGACCTGAGCATGGG